TATTTAATTTCCTCAGCTTCATTAAACAGCGTTGTTGCTACAGTCAGAATACAGTGAGTTAAACACAGTCCTGCATCCATCTATGTGCTGTTCTGGATGCGGCGTTGAAGCTGGTTTGCTGTTCCTGATGTTTACTGATGTTCCAGCTGTTGTCGTGGAGCAGATAAAGAGCAGGTTTATATGCGCTGAGGGTCTCTGAGAGAGTAATGGCCTCGTCTGAATCCTCCAGATGACCTTCTGCAAACATTAACATCACAAACAAACACAAGATATATACTCAAATCTGATATATGGCCATATGAATACATACAGTGCCCATAGAAAATCATCATAGTCCTTTATTTGTCATACAGCCTGAAATCAAATCATGTTCCAATGAACTTTTCCAGCCTTTCAAAAGCTATAGACTTTCATGATGATATTTTATCAGCACTGTATATTTAAAGTTATCGTTAATATATTTGAACACATTTGTAACTCAAATAGTTAGAAACTAGTATAATTTTACATTATTATAATACACGAGTATTATAAAATATTATCTATTTAGCTATTAAGGCTTAAATAAGGGTATTTTTTTCTTTCTGTCTTTTAAAATAGCACAAAAGTATCCTGCTTGAATATATGTGATGTGAAATGAAGGTTAGCACAAAAGTAATCTAAATGTAACCCAAAAGTAATCAATTACTACATCATATATTTGTATTTAAAGTAATCTAAATGTAATCCAAAAGTAATCAATTATTACATCATACATTTGTAATTTATCGAAATGTAACCCAAAAGTAATCAATTACTACATCATACAATTGTAATTAAAGTAATCTAAATGTAATCCAAAAGTAATTAATTACTACATCATACATTTTCTAAATGTAATCCAAAAGTAATCAATTACTACTTCACACATTTTTAATTAATTTAAATGTAATCCAAAAGTAATCAATTACTACATCATACATTGGTAATTAAAGTAATCTAAATGTAATCCAAAAGTAATCAATTACTACATCATACATTGGTAATTAAAGTAATCTAAATGTAATCCAAAAGTAATCAATTACTACATCATGCATTGGTAATTAGAGTAATCTAAATGTAATCCAAAAGTAATCAATTACTACATCATACATTGGTAATTAAAGTAATCTAAATGTAATCCAAAAGTAATCAATTACTACATCATATATTTGTAATTAAAGTAATCTAAATGTAATCTAAAAATAGTTAGATTGCATTACCATAAATCTGTGAAAAAAGTAATCTGAATGTAATCCAAAAATCATTTCCAAAAACAATATTAATAAATATAATCTAAATGTATTTCAAAAGTACCCAGATTACATTACCATAAATTTGTAATTTAAATGTATTCTAAAAGTAATCAGATTACATTACCAAACATTTACCATAAATGTGTAACACTAGTCTAAGTGTAATCCAAAAGTAGTCAGATTATGTTAATCTGAATGTGTAATAAAGTTCATCTAAATGTAAAATACATTACCACAAATGTGTAATAAATATAATCTAAATTTTATCCAGTAGTATATATAAATGTAATCCAAAACTTGTCAGATTACATTACCATAAATGTGTCATAAAAGTAATCTAAATGTAATCCAAAAATACATTACCACAAATGTGTAATAAATGTAATCTAAATGTAAACCAAAAGTAGGCAGATTATGTTACTCTAAATGTGTAATATGTTGTCTAAATGAAATCTAAAAGTAATCAGATTACATTACTAAACATTTACCATAAATGTGTAACACAAGTAGTCTAAGTGTGATTCAAGCGTAGTAGTGTAATTAAAGTAATCTAAATGTAATCTAAATGTAGTCTGATCACATTACCATAGATCTTTAAAAAGTAGTCTAAATATAATTCAAAAGCAATTAGATTACCTTACTTTAAACTGGTAATAAAAGTAATTTAAATGTAATCCAAAAGTACTCAGAAAAGGTTATCATATATGTATAATAAAGGTAATCTAAATGTAATCCAAAAAATGCCAGATTACATTACCATAAATCTGTAATAAAAGTTATCTGGATGTAATCCAAAATCATTACTATAAATGTGTAATCAAAGTAATCTAAATGTAATCCAAAAGTAGTCAGATTATGTTACCTTAATTGTGTAATACAAGTAATCTAAATGTAATCCAAAATTTGTCAGATTAAATTACCATAAATCTGTCATAAAAGTAATTTGAGTGTAATCCAAAAATATATTGCCACAAATGTGTAATAAAAGTAATCCAAATGTAATCCAAAAGTCGTCAGACTAAGGTTCTGTACATATGTAATAAAGTAATCTAAATGTATTTCAAAAGTACTCAGAATTCATTACCATAAATGTGTAGCACAAGTAGTCAAAGTGTGATTCAAAAGCATTCAGATAAATTTGATATCAATGTGTAATTAAAGTAATCTAAAATTTAATCTAAATGTTGTCAGGTTACCATACCATAAATCTATAAAATAAAAAGGAGTTCTCTTTAAATGTAATTCAAAAGTAATTTGATTACTTAAAATTTTTAATAAAAGTAATTTAAATGAAATCCAATGTAATCCAAAAGTAGTCAAAATAGGTTACCATATATGTGTAATAAAGGTAATCTAAATGTAATCCAAAAGATGTCAGATTACATTACAATAAATCTCTAATAAAAGAAATCTGGATGTAATTAAAAAATTATTACTATGAATGTGTAATCAAAGTAATCTATATGTAATCCAAAATGAATCAATTACTACATCATACATTTGTAATTAAAGTAATCTAAATGTAACCCAAACATAGTGTGAATATGTCACCATAAATCTGTAATAAAAGTAATTTAAATGTAGTCACATTATGTTACCCTAAATGTGTTATGAAACTAACTTAAATGTAATCCAAAAGTAATTAACTGACATCAAAAATATGTTATTAAAGTAATATAAATGTTACCCAAAGGTAGTCAGAATAGGTTACCAAAAAATGTAATTTAAAAGTTGTCAGATTACATTACAATAAATCTGTAATACATATAATCTGGATATAATCCAAAAATCATTACCATAAATGTGTAATAAAAGTAATCTAAATGTAATCCAAAAGTAGTCAGATTACGTTACCATACATATGTCATAAATGCAATCTACTGTAAATGTAATCCAAAAGTAGTTGAATTACATTACAATAAATGTGTAATAAAAGTAATCTAAATGTAATCTAAAAGTAGTCAGATTACATTACAATAAACATGTAATAAAAGTTATCTAAATGTAATCCAAAAGTAGCTCGATCTTTCAGCTGTATAAAATGCAGAGCCGTAAATGAGGCTTAAGTCAATGAACAGGTTTACTGGCATCTGTTTGTCTGAAGAGCGTGTAAACATTGTCTTCTCCCGCTCTTTAGTTCCACTGGAAGCGTCTGCTTGACCGCATCTTCAACGATAATTTCTCTGAGGAGGAGGAGATTGTGGTTTTGGCCACTGACTACATGCAAACGGTGTCGGACATCATCAAAACCACCTCTAAACGGTAGGAGTCCACTCAGCGTATGACAAAACACTCTTATTGTGATGTAAACTCATTATAATTTGGTAACATTTACAGTAAGCCCGCATGAGAAGAATACTGTTGTAATTTATAGTAAATGTAGTGGTTTTGTAGATCTGTTGTGGTGATTCTACAGTTGCCATTGTAACACAACAACTATTGTGATTGATCTGTTACGGTGATTCTACAGTTGCTATGGTAACACAACAACTGTAGTAATTGTCAGTTGTTATGGTTATTCTACAGTTGTTATGGTAACAACAACTATAGTAACTGATCTGTTGTGGTTATTTTTATAGTTGCTATAGTAACTCACCAACTAAGTAATCGTGATCTGCTGTGGTGATTTTACAGTTGCTATGGTAACACAACAACTATAGTAATTATCTGTTTTGGTTATTCTACAGTTGCTATGGGAACACAACAACTATAGTAATTATATGTTTTGGTTATTCTACAGTTGCTATGGGAACACAACAACTATAGTAATTATCTGTTTTGGTTATTCTACAGTTGCTATGGGAACACAACAACTAAAGTAATTGTAATCTGCTGTGTTGATTCTACAGTTGCTATGGTAACACAACAACTATAGTACTTGTCATTTGTTATGGTTATTCTACACTTGCTATGGTAACAACAACTATAGTAACTGATCTGTTGTGGTTATTCTACTGTTGCTCTGGGAACACAACAACTAAAGTAATTGTAATCTGCTGTGGTGATTCTACTGCTGCTTTGGTAACAACTATAGTAGTTGACCTGTTGTGGTGATTCTACAGTTGCTATGGTAACAAAAACTATAGTAATTAATCTGTTTGGTTATTTTATATTTGCTATGGTAACACAACAACTAAAGTAATTGCGATATGTTGTAGTGATTCTGCCGTTGCTATGGTAATAACCATAGTAGTTGATCTGTTGTGGTTATTCTGCAGTTGCTATGGTAACAACAACTAACGTAATTGTGATCTGTTGTGTTGGTTGTACAGTTGCTATGGTAACACAACTATAGTAATATAAACAAATGTCCACAAATACCACAACAGGGCAAGTATAGTACAGTATTTATTGATTGTGTGAGAACGTGTGTGTGTTTGTGAGAGTATTTGTGGCACACAAGGACAATGGACAGAAACCATGGGAAACCTATGGAATATCCCCACAATTCTCAAAAACAAACGCGGGCCTTGTGTGGGTTTGTGTGTGTGGCTTTATTTGAGGTGTCACTGTTGGGTGAACACTCATCTGCACTGAGGCTGATTAGAATCGACCCATAGCGGTCCTACCTGTTTACACACACACACACACACACACACACACACACACACACACACACACACACACACACACACACACACACATATACAGAAATTCTCCAGAGAGCAGGAGTCAAGTGCTGAATGTGAAGGGTTAGTGTGTGTCCAGCTGTCAGCTTATTCTCATGGGAGTCTCTCTCTCTCTCTCCCTCTCTCTCTCTCTCTCTCTCTCTCTCTCTCTGTGTGTGTGTGTGTGTGTGTGTGTGTGTGTGTGAGTGTGTTCTGTGACAGTCAGTCAGTTTGCCACCATATTTCTCTGTTTCTTTCCCTAATAATTGGAATTATTGAAGTGTCTGTTCTCTGTCCATCAGTCTTTCTTTAACTCGGCCTGTGCCTAAAATAGTAATGAGAATAATTATGATTATTTTAATGAATAAAGTACATTTCTGGTTCAGTTTTTCCACATAATGGTGACAGATGGACAGTTCTAATGATTCCACATAATTATTTTAGCACAAGAAGAATTTGCTGCCAAAATAATAATAAACATAATTTTGAATAATAATAATAATATATATTTGATGCTATAGTTTTTTTTAATTAATGCATTAATAAATTCATTACATTACTCACACTAATTCATTCATTCATTCTTTTTCCTTCGGCTTAGTTTCTATTTCTGAGGTCGCCAAAGCAGAATGAACCGCCAACTATTCCAGCATATGTTTTTCACAGCAGATTTGTTTTTCCAGCCGCAACCCAGTACTGGGAAACACCCATACACACTCTTTCACACACACACACACTCATGTACTACGGTAAATTTAGTTGATCAGTTCCCCTATAGTGCATGTGTTTGGACTGTGGGTGAAACCGGAGCACTCGGAGAAAACCCACACCAACACGGAGAGAACATGCAAACTCCACACAGAAACACCAACTGACCCAGCCAGGATTTGAACCCACGACTTTAGATGGATGGTTGAATGGATGGCTGGATAGATAGATCAATAGATGGATGGATGAATATATGGATGGATGGACCTTTAGACAGGGTGGATAGAGGGGTAGATGGAACAATAGATGAAGGGATGGAAATATATGGTTGGATGGATAGGTAGATAGAGGAATAGATGGTATGATGGATGGATGGATGGATGGATGGATGGATGGATGGATGGAATGATAGACAGATGGTTGGTTGGATGGATGGATGGATAGACAGGAAGATAGAGAGATAGATGGAACAATAGACAGATGATTGGATGGATGGATGATGGATAGACAGGTCGATAGAGGGATAGATGGAACAATGTATGGATGGAGGGAGAGATGGATTGATATATGGAAGGAAAGGTGGATGGTGAGACTGGTAGATAGAGGAATGGATGGAACAATAGACAGATGGACAGATGGATGGATGAATAAATAGAGAGATAGATGGATGGACGGCGGACGGGTACATGGACTGATAAATGAAAGGGATGGATGAAGAGATGGATAGATTGATGGACAGGTAGTTAAAGAGGTGGAGCAAAACAAACAGGATGGATTTACGGATGGACGGACGGATAGACAGACAGACAGACAGACAGACAGACAGACAGACAGACAGACAGACAGACAGATAGACAGATAGATAGATAGATAGATAGATAGATAGATAGATAGATAGATAGATAGATAGATAGATAGATAGATAGATAGATAGATAGATAGATAGATAGATGAAAGGATAGACTGATGGATGGATGGATGGATGGATGGATGGATGGATGGATGGATAGACAGGTAGATTGATATTATATTATATTATTTTATTTTATTTTATATTATATTATATTATATTATATTATATTATATTATTTTATATTATATTATATTATATTATTATATATTATATTATATTATATTATTTTATTTTATATTGTATTATTTTATTTTATTTTATTTTATATTATATTATATTATATTATATTATATTATATTATATTATATTATATTATATTATATTATATTATTTTATATTTTATTATATTATATTATATTATATTATTTTATATTATATTATATTATATTATATTATATTATATTATATTATATTGTATTGTATTGTATTATATTATATTATATTATATTATTATATATTATATTATTTTATATTATATTATTTTATATTATATTATATTATATTATATTATATTATATTATATTATATTATATTATATTATTTTATTTAATTTAATTTAATTTTAAATTATATTATATTATATTATATTATATTATATTATATTATATTATATTATTTTATATTATATTATATTATATTATTTTATTTTATATTATATTATATTATATTATATTATATTATATTATATTATATTATTTTATATTATATTATATTATATTATATTATATTATATTATTTTATATTATATTATATTATATTATATAATATTATATTATTTTATTTTATATTATATTATATTATATTATATTATATTATATTATATTATATTGTATTGTATTGTATTGTATTATTTTATATTATATTATATTATATTATATTGTATTGTAGTTTATCGTATTGTATTATATTAAATTATATTATATTATATTATATTATATTATATTATATTATATTATATTATTTTATTTTATATTATATTATATTATTTTATTTTATATTATA